ATGGCAGTGTCAGCAGGCGCTATGGTGTGTGCCCTACGCACCGAGGCAGCTAAGTTTTTCGCAGATTTCAGGGCCTTCCGCGGGTGGTTTTGCTTTGCGACTACTGAAGACTTGACCCCGTCCAAGCCCTTCTATCGCACGATCCCTTATTCCTCAAGCTCGTGCGCGTTTAAAGGCCACGACGTCGCCCACACAGGCAGGAGGTCTGCGCCGAAAAGCCACGCGCCCTTAGCTTCACTGTAAATGACCCCAAATCCCCAAAATCTCGCAACCCTTTGTAGCCTGTGTACCCTTGCGTGCCCTGTGTACCCTTGCGCACCCTGTGTACCTTTGGCCCTCACCCTGGTCAACTTGTGTTAAGGTACTTGGTCTTCTGGTCACGCCGTTTGTCGTTCCAGAGTCCACGGAGCCAATGTGGTTTTGTGGGCCCGGTCCGTGACTTGGGGAGGGCCTTCGAGTTTAGCTCTACTTCCACAGGCCCCTCTAGCACTCAACCGCAAAGCAGTATGAAGCTCTGCTTCTACAGTATGTTTCAGCCCTGGCACACCGCTGTTCAGTCCTGGTTCCGACAATAGCGCCAACTTCCACGAGTGTACAAACAACCCTTAAACGAAACCCTAAACTCTAAACCCTAAACCCTAAACCCTAAACCCTAAACCCTAACCCCTAACCCCTAAACCCTAACCCCTAACCCCTAACCCTAAACCCCAACATAGGCTTGGTGCCCTGAAGGAGTTGGTGACCTCCGCCGGGAAAGCCCACACGAGGCGCAAGGGTCTCAAGGGCCAGGTGCATTGCCCTAACCCCTAAACCCTAAACCCTAAACCCTAAAACCCTAAACCCTAAAACCTGAACCCTAAACCCTAAACCCTAAACCCTAAACCCTAAACCCTAAACCTCTAAGCCCCTAAACCTCCAAGCCTCTAAGCCTCTGTGCCTCTGAATCTCTGCATTCAGCTTGTCCGACGTAAGCAGCTTATTCAGACCCAGCTGGCCACATCAAGTCTTTATTGCCCTGGCATGGTGTTTAGGGTTTAGGGTTTAGGGCTTAGGGTTTAGGGTTGAGGGTTTAGGGTTTAGGGTTAGGGTTTAGGGCTTCGTGTTTAAAGGCCTTAGTGCCTGGAGTCTTGCAACGAGAAAGTCACTTGGACGAAGTCGAACCTCAGCCCAACATCAAACACCTGACCAAACACGCTCAACCATACCTATCACAAACTCCCGAAACCCTAACCCCTAACCCGGCCCTAACCCCTATACCCTAAACCCGAAACCCTAAACCCTAAACCCTAAACCCCAAAACCCCAAACCCCAAACCCCAAAACCCAAACCCCAAACCCTGAACCCTAAACCCTAAACCCCTTTCTCCCAACACCCCCACCGGTCCCGATGTCCGGCGCCGGGAGGCCTGTGGAGGCTGCAGAGTCACTTTTCAGTCACCCTGCCTCTTGTCACGTATTGGGTTGAGGGTTTAGAGTTTAGGGTTTATTGTTTAGGGTTTAGGGCGGGCATCACACCCTAACCATGCTGATGTGGGCATGAGGACGGAGTCTTTAGGGGCAAGATGGGTCTTGGGCGCGAGGAATGTGAGGAGTCGTGTCTACAATGCTGCGAGTTTGGACCTACCGTTTCACGAGAAATAGCCTGCGTGCCCCTGTCACTTACTATGCTTGACCTCCTCCAAACTAGCCAAAACCCCGCATCACTGACATCCATGCTTATAGCCATTAGCATGCCCTACACTCCTAGACCTCAAGCACCCCCTCAACTACCCTTTAAACATGATAGTCGCGTATGTATGTCCCCTTTAGTAAAGGGTAGTTGGGGGGTGCTCGTGTACCATCCATGCGCCACCCGAGCCCGAAGCTCAGAAGAACTCGCCTCCCAGGTCCTCCGCCAGACTCTAGCGACAGCGACTCCGCCGCTATTCACCTCGACTTTGCAGCCCAATGCGCAGAACTCCAAGTCCCTGTGTGTAGGTCCACCTCGAACACCCTAGGGCCGGGAACTTCCTGAGGCCTTGACCGAGCTGAAATCCACTTCACCTCTTTGACCCTCACCTTGACTGTGTTCCTATACAGCTAGGTGAGCTTTAGATTATATTCCAGTCACCCGAACCTCAAGGACCTCGCTCTTAGACGGCCGAGACTATTCAACTCCCCGAAGCATAAACAACATTGAGCCCTGAAGCCCACGAACAATATAGGGGTTTAAAGCTACTAGCCTTCCAACCCTGGTGTAGAGCGAAGCTCAGATGGTATGCTGGTTTGCGGTCTCCACGGGCTACTACGGCCTCTCCTACACATCAGGCGGGCTTGGCTCAGATTGGCTCAGTATTTCAGGGGCCCCCGGTTTAACTTCCCTACACTTCCCAGATGCTGGCCCGCAGAGGTGACAACCTCGATCATGAGCCCTAAAAGCTCAGAAGCCCTTCTGCCTTGGAGCTTCAATCTGCAAGCCATCCGAAAGCCATAAACCTCAAACCATCGGGTTCGGATCCGGAGCGTGCAAGTGGGTGAAGAATTTGGTTGAGAGGCTCCGGGGCGGGCTGTATAGGACGGCTGGGTTTGGACTCTGGAGCCTATAAGTGTTGTGCATCATTCAAGCTCCACGTGTTCCGGAGCATCGGCAGCTGCTCCGCAGGCAATCTGGCGCCGGACCTCTACTTGAACATGGGGCTCCTCTCGTTGACGGACTTGTTTTGCTATGCATTCTCCAAGCCGTTCGTGGATACCTGAATGGAATATTTAGCCCATATACCGCGACAGCTGCAAGTCCAAAATCTCTGCAAACTGTTTAGCTTCATTTTAACGCCGCGCGACCCGCCTCGGATGGGCCTGCCCGGAGGTTAATAACCGTGTGAGGCCTCAGGGCTTTCCCTTTGGGTGGGATCCTGTTGTATCACACACGCTCATATATAGGCCAGGCTCATATATAGGGCACCCCAATTGTGGCCAGAATTTCTGGAGTCCCTGACGTTCTGAACGCACACCCTCAAACCCAGGCTTGTAGTTGCACGCTCACTGGGGATGAATGAGGTGAATGAGGTGAACAGTTTTGGGACCGGGTATGGCGGGAAGCCAGGGGCTAGGGGGGGCAGGGGTACCATTCCAGGCAAAAATATTCCAAACAAAGGGGTTCCTGCTTGACTGAGGCCTCGGCCTATAATTTTAAAGCGACGCGACCCGCCTCGGCCGGGGCCTGCGCAACCGCGAGGTGGCTGTCGAGAGGACATTGAGGCCGAGGTGCAGAGCAGGCTCAGAGATTCCGCAGACCCCGAATGCCAACCCTACTCAACCCCCCAGCCGAGCCGTTGCCATGGCCGTGGGGATTCGCCTCTCCATCGCACAATGGCTCCGAAAATCCACACCATCGAAGGGTAGAGGGGGGCTGCTTTGGCCTCGGCGGATTTGGTCTAGACGTACACTCGAGCCGACTCATAAGGACATGCTTGGACGAAGACGAGCCCAGATGATCGCCTTTGCAGGTGCCATGGTGATGCGTCAGATGGCTTATCATCTGTTAAAGTTAATGCCCTTGTGCAATATGTTTATGTTGACCTTTCGGTTTCTGAACCTACCACCTGAGCCTGTGCACTTCTGGACCGCAGCAGGACTGGTCGTTCTTCTTTTTTCTTATGGGGGGGGGGAGTGTTTCTTCTGGAGTTTTCAAGGATTCGATGCATGTCTGCTCGGGACATCCAAGGCGCCGCGTCCGTGCTGCTCCTGTGCATCTCGGCCATGAAGTGTTTGGTAGTTTCGGTGTGGTTCCGCGCAGGCGCAACCTCAAACCCTACATCTCATTGAGAATAGTTTCATTGACGTTGCGAGTTTGCGAGCGGGCAGCCGCACCATCTGCACAGCCTACCAGTCCGGATGGCCGAGGCACTGTGCAGCCAGAAAGATCTTGGCCACTTGGATGGTTGAGGGTTCAACGCATAGGGTTGAGGGTTCGGGGTGTAGGTGCTTCCGACGCAGGTTCCGACTCTGTATCAGAGTCCATCAAGGCCCAAAGTGATTAAGTGTGTCAGCTACCCAAAACTCTGTACTTCCCTCAAGCCCCCCAAACTCTCGACTGAACCCCAGAAACTAGGCTGACGGGTCTTTCCCGGCGCTCTCGGCTTTGAGGGCACAACTTAGAAGGCTTTCGGGACAGCCAAAAGCCGCTGTTAGGGACCAAGGCCTATGCCCCTAGGCCCAGCCTTAGGCCCCCAGCCCTGGGCCATTGAGGGCTCTCATGTTCATCTCCCTGACCGGACGTCTATGCCTGGCAGTGGCCACTGGGATCAACAAAGGAGATGTTGGCTGGAGTACGGACCGTGTTGCCTGGTGTTGCTTTTCGCGCCGCAGATATGTCTCGAGACTCCATCCCAAGACCCGGTGAACTTATCGGCAAATCACAGTGAAGTAGGGATTCTTTGCGCGTCAGCAAAGTCGCAAATTGTGAGGCTTCCGACGGCTCGCAAGGCCAATTGACAGAGTTCGCGCATAGATGTGTTAGTTTTGGTTGTATGTGCTTCTTGACTAGCGTCTTGCATTGTTCTCGTTGTGCTTCTGCTGTCTGGCTTTCGTTTGTTGCCATACTTGTTCTGCATGTCGCCTTTTGGGTGTGCGCTGCTTTGCTTTCTGCATCTCACTTCTGCTTGTTCCTTACCTGGAGGAAAACAAGGGTGGCGAAAACAATAAAAGACAGCATGCCGTCAAACAGAACAAAGAAAGGACAGCCAAGGTTGTGTTGTTGCCTGTCTCCTCCCAAGGACTGCACGGCTTGCTTCTTCGCAGGGTTTGCGTGCTGAAGCACTTTTAACTTGAATTAGAACAGCTACACTTGTTCAAGGCTTTGATAGCTGCTTTCTCGGTTTTTGCAGCCAAGCTTATGGGCCATGTTGCTTCCAGTTCAGGGTGGGACCTTGCAGGTGTCGTACGTTTCTTTGATAGCAGAAATCTCAACACTCTGAACCACTACCCAGAACCCCGTCCACAAGCCCAAGAGCTCCTCACATCCTAAGCAAACGCCCTGACTAAAACCACAAAGTCCCAGGCATTCTCCACAGTGTACTTGCTCCTCGCTGATGCTTGGCGAGAAGCGAAAGTTGCATCAGAAGCAAGGGGCGAAGCACGAACGAAGGCGAAATGCAAGAAGAAGAAGAAGAAGAAGAAGAAGAAGAAGAAGAAGAAGAAGAAGAAGAAGAAGAAGAAGAAGAAGAAGAAGAAGAAGAAGCGAGCAACAGGCACAAAAAACGTGCTGACGATGGCCGCAGCGTGCACGGGTAACAGAACGCACGTGATGGACAGCGTGGCATCAGAATGCTCCGCACAGGGCATTAAAAGCTTTGAAATGCGAGCCATGCAGAATGCACGCGGGCAAGAACAACATGTGCAACCGTCATTCAACGTGTTTGGGGCACTTGTTTGGCAGGTTGCTGTTTCAGTTCTTTTCTATTCAGTCGCCTTATGGTTGCGGTGTGTTCGCAGTGCAGCTCAATTCAGGGCCCAAGTTCAGGGTTCAGATTTTATGCCCGGCCTCAGAAGTTATGGCAGTAATGACAACCCCAAGCCCCGAATACTCGGAAGAAGACCCAGGACTTTCCGGTCTCGCTGAGAGCTTCGGCTTGTGGAGCAGCCAACGTCACGGCACGGCTGGGTTGTGCTTATGCGCCGCTGCTGGCCGGGGTCTTACGCCTGTCGGAGGTTTGGGAGTTTTACGTGTTGTGGCTTAGGGGTGTAGACGCGTCCTCATGCACAAGGGTGGCCTCACCTCACGAGAAGAAGTCTTGTGCGGCGGCACTTCCTGCGGCGACCGAGCTTCGTCGGATGCATGACGCGAAAGAACCAGTGAAGCTGGGATTTCTTTGTTCGCACGTGGTGTTCCCACCCATAGACGCACTTCAGCAGGGGTGGGTCCCTGGAGGCTGCGCCCGTGACGGGATGTTAATGCCTGGCGTCCCTGGATTAATTTGGATTATCTGAGCAATTCTCCACGTGGAACTGATCCAGGGCCCACTGGTCCTGAGACTCGGCGTGCAGGGCCAGCGCCGTTCTCAGTGGGGAGTATTCACGTTTCGCGCGTTGGCCTTGGGGCCCGGTACACCCGTGGTTGTGGGATCTCCCAAGCACTACGCAGCAGCTACAGGCTGCAGCGGACGAACAATCTCCATAGGCCATAGGCACCACCACCCATAATACAGGTGAAAAGCCTGGCGGGTATCCTCACTGACTATAGAAATGGACGGGAATCACTCAAACCGGCGGGGTGGGAACGCATTTAGTTCCCAGCAAAATTCAGCAAGAGATGGGAGGTTGAAGGATGCCATGCAGGCTCGAAGATTCACAGCTGAAAGGAGCTTATAAGCGTCTCAGTTTCTGGGTCTTGGGGTCTTTCGGCGGGTTCTCGCAAACATCTTTCGAGGTCGGAGGCCGCAAAACCCTAAAACCTAAACCCTGAACCCCAAACCCCAAACCCCAAACCCCAACCCCCAAACCCCAAACCCCAAACCCCAAAAAGCCCTAAGCCTCTTGGCAGGTCAATGCAAACCCCAGTGTGGTCTGTGCCGGCCTCTCTGTAGCAGCTCTGGCCGCCTCGGTGGCCACGTGGTCTTTGGAAGAGAAGCTGGAGAAATGAGGTGCCGTTCAGGGGTTTCCGAAATTAGGGGGACCTTTTTTGGGGTCCTTCTTAAATGGGAATCCTACTGCTTGGGGGCTATTTTAGGGGCCCCCTAGTTTCGCAAACCCCCGTTTGTTGGCTAAACCTCAAGCCGATCATGAGCTAAGCTCAAGCCTTGAGCCAGTTTTCTGCTTATTGTGTGAATGGTCTCCAGGGTTTGGGGAGTGTATGCTTGCTGGGGATAGGGCTTAAGTTCAATCCCAAGGATCTTCTTGCACGGTCGCATCCTTTGCGAGACACCTCTTAATTTGATCTGTTGCGGTTTATTGCGAGTCGGGAGACTTCTCCATACCCCACACGGTAGCCGGAGTACCGATCGTTCCTCTGTGGAAGGCGGACAGCTACGCAGCTACGCAGTTGGGCCTGGCACTTGCCCCTGTAGTTTCTCTGCCCTGCAGCAAAGCTGCAAGCACTCGCGATTTATTGTTCTGCCGCTGTGAAGTCAGCGAAGCAGCACTTGTTGTTTGGCCAGTGAGCTGGCCTGAGAGTTCTCAGAACTCCAACCCCCACAAAAGGGCAAAATGTACACGCCCTGAAGTCCAGAACCCACAACCCGACTACCAACAGCGAGACTCTTAGTGGCTTACTCGATCGCCCCAGCCGTCGTGCGGCAAACGGCCCGCAGAGGCTTCAGCTCTTGTAGAGGCTCACCGGGGAAAAGAAGGTTTCGTGACAGCCCCAAGCTCCGAAACTTCCTAAAGGCACCCAAACTCCGCCCCTCCGCCCCATCAAACCAAACCATGTGAAACCCAAGCCTTAAGCTACAAGCCCACAACCCTAGAAACCTGAAGGCCAAAGTCAGGGCAAACTCTTGGTAAAGGCTTGGGCTCCCGGTTTAGGGTTTAGTCTGTTGAGTTAAGGAACCTGAATGGTTGCTTGTAAGACTTCTACAAGCATCCTTGAGGTTTAGGTTTCGGGTTCGGGCTCCTTGGACTATGGGTTAAGGTTAGATACTAACGCCGGAGCTCCTGACATTCTCCAAAGTCTCCAATATTTCCTGCTTTACCGCCCCGAAGCTACGAAGTTTTGGGGGGGCGGTGGGGGGGAGGTGGGGGGGGGGGGGTTGGTGGTATGTAGGGTTTTTACACCGAAACGCCCTGAGCCTGGAGCTCAACCCTGAACCCTGAACCCTAAACCCTAAACCCTCAGCCCTAAACCCTAAACCCTGAACCCTAAACCCTCAGCACAAAACCTAAACCCTAAACCCTAAACCCTAAACCCTAAACCCTAAACCCTAAACCCTAAACCCTAAACCCTAAACCCTAAACCCTAAACCCTAAACCCTAAACCCTAAACCCCAAACCCCAAACCCTAACTCCAGGACCGGCAAGAGGAGAGATTGGGCCCGGCCTCTCAGCATCCCTCAGCTGCGGCTGCCGCGCACCGCAGATCGCGCGCAGTCCTGGATTAGGGTTTAGGGTTTAGGGTTTAGGGTTTAGGGTTTGAGGTTTGGGGTTTTGGGTTTAGGGTTTAGGGTTTAGGGTTTAGGGTTTAGGGTTTAGGGTTTAGGGTTTAGGGTTTAGGGTTCGGGTTTAGGGTTTAGGGTTTGCGGTTTAGGGTTTGGGGTTAAGGGTTTAGGGTCAAAGAATCCCATAACATTACGAAAATCGAAAGTTCATTTTTGTTGGTGTTGAACAATGGGGGGGGGGTCCCAAGGGGTCAGAGGGGCCAAAATGGATCAAATCCCTAATTCATGCTGAACAATGGGGGGTCAAGGGGGGCTGAACAATGGGGGGTCAAAGGGGTCAGAGGGGCCGAAATGGATCAAATTCCCAAATCCGTGCTGAAGAATGGGGTCAGAGAGACCAAAATGGATCAAATTCCTTAATTCGTGCTGAAGAATGGGGTTAAAGGGGTCAGAGGGGCCCAAATGGATCAAATTCCAAATTCGTGCTGATCATGGGGGGTAAAAAATGTAAAACAAGAGAAGTTGATCAAGTTCTCAAAGTCGTGTTTAGTGTTTAGGGTTACTATGGTAGAGAGGTTTAGGGTTTAGGAAGGTTCGAGCGCTCCAAATTCCTGGAGCTAAGAATTTGCATTGTAGAGGCTGAGTGTGGCAAATCGTGCAAGAGTTCTGGCTGTTTCGGCTTAAGAAAGGATGCCTTCAAGCTCAACACCCTGTCAAAACACTTTTCCTATAGTTCGTGGTTATCAGGTAAGGCTTTCCAGTGCAGAAAGCCAGAAAGCCCTCAGATGATGGAGCTCTGACATCCGAAGCTCCAAGCCCTAAACCCTGAAACGAGCCCTGAACCCTCCGAACGACTCGACGACCCCAGACCCCTCAACCTACATTCGAACCAACGCCCTTGGCCGGTCCCCTAGAGCCCTTTTCGAGCCCATTTTGCGTATGAAGCCCTCAGTGCTTCCCCTTCTGAGCTTCAGGACTCCGGGACTACCTGCAAGTGGTCATCGTGACAGGCCGTGCTCGAGTAACGGTAGGGCATCTCTGGGCTCGCGGAGCTTCAGGAGACTGGATTCGTAGATTAACCTCAGAATCGCAGAAGATTTGCCCTTCAGCCCATCGCAGCTTTTCACACTGTGCCATACAGCATTCGCAGGCCTCTTCTGCCTAAACGTCGGCCTCAACAGCCTCTCTTTGGTGCGAATCTCCATCACTCTCAACCAGACAGTCCGATGCCCCGAGCAGGGTTCAATGGGGATGTGGGTCACGGGGCTCAGGGCACCTAAACTAACTGTTGTTAAACCTACCCTAAACCTGTCCTTCTTGGGGAGTTGGGTACGGCTTAGGCTTGCAGTTTTGCTGGGATAGCCTTCATTCACCCTATAGACCACGGGTCCGGTGTTTCCCAGTTGCGCGGACTTGCAGAGTTCGGAATCTTCGTGTTTTTTGAGAGTCCGAGACATCTTGGCAAGATCGTCCATAAACGCCCTATCAAAACCCTGTTGTCCCGAAGCCTCTTAGAGTTTACAGCTTCCTGAAGCTGCTATTAAAAGAAGCATCGCAGCCACGAAGCCCGAGGTGAGAGCTTTTCTGCCAGTGGGGGTCCTCCTCTTGGCCACGTGCATTGAGAGGAAAGCCTACCCCAGGCAGGAGGAGACTTTTGGGCGGCCTTGGAAAGATGCAAGGGTTGGAGTTTGCCTCGACTCGGTTCCCTGGTGTTGGCATTCCGAGTTTCAGGCCTGGCGGTGGAGGCGTTTCATGTTGAGGGCTGAGGGCTCTATAGGAAGGGCTGCAACCTTCCAGCGCGTTTGGACCCATCTCCCAGCCGTGGCCAGTCATTCCTACTGCACCACGGTCTTCCTAGTCGGGGGCATCGCCCTCACTTGCTGGGGCAGCCGGTCCCTCAGAACGGGTTTCTCTTTGCCAGCTTGTGCTTGCTTTACATTCGCGCTGCTTTCATGGCCTGAACTCTTAGCCGTGATTCCTGAAACCGAAAGCCCAAGTCATCACGATGACTTGGGCCGTTGAGCGCTCAGCACGCACCGCCACCCACGAATCACGACGCAAAGACATGACGCGCGACTCCAGCTCACGAAGCACGCGCCGACACGCAACAACGGCCAGTCAACAGCATGTGAAGCTGTGCAGCAAAGCAGCTGGAGCTGTCAACCCTAGCATGCCGAAGCCTGGACCTGAAACTGCACGCCAGTGAAGATGAAGAATGCAACTGCGAGGTCCGGAGTTCGATCTCTTTGGGTTTGGCCTGGCTCTGTCGTCAACGCT